AACCGTGGAGAGTCGATTCCGCGATATTGGAAGCAACTCGGATTGAAATTATATAAACAAGAAAAATTGTYGTATTTGGGACGAAGGCTAACCTGAAGAGTTTMRTCCAGAAAAACAAYGGTTTGGTATGGCTTGTGCGCCGGTGGAATCATCGGTCCATATTTTTTCAAAAATGATGCTCATAAGAACGTAGCCGGCCACAGAGACCGTTATCGCACCAAGAAAACCGACTATTTGATGCCTGAAATTAAAGTCGTGATTTGGCGACATTTGGTTTCAACAAAACGACGCCACTTCGCACGCAACGCATCAATCACGTTTTGAGACAGTCGATAAGCCACCAAGATCATGAGGGGATATATAAAGTCTAAAGTCAATGYGGACAATCCCGCTTCGATTCAGATCATTAAGCAAAATGTTACGCGTGTCATTCGCCAGTTTCCAGTCGAAATGCTTGAACAATTCATTGAAAATTGAAAGATATAAAAAAATGCTAAATATGAATATAAACAYTCCCCATTAAATTTAAAGTTTCCGTATTTTTCTTTATAAAAATAGGGAACCTCGAAATGAATCACCCTTTAAGTAGTAAGATTAAAGAGGTCTCCTTATCTCCTTATGTGTCTCAGTTTCCTGTTTATCTACAGAGTCGCAGTTTCTCTCATGAAAACCACTAACCTGTATAAATCCAAGATGTTTTAGCGAAGCAGTCTGATTAAGTTTACCTAACGTTACCAARGTAGTGGAAATGAGTGTACGTAGAYGTATACAAAACTATTTTATATTGCCTCATTAAATCAGACTACAAATTAATTGCCAGCAATTTTATCTTGATAGCAAACCAGCAATACTGTGCTGTTACATTTGCAATTAAAATTTATAATCTCATTAGATTAATGCATTAARCTTAGGCTGTAATTTAATAAATGTGACATCAGTGCATTGGCCTGCAAAGGCTTTCGTTTATACAGAGTGCCACAMAAGAAATTTAAATTTGCTTGTCTGTGGCTTTGGTGAAAACTCTCTRTTCCACCTTTTACAAATAAAGGTAGATGCGATAGTAAAATGAGTGKCATCACTTATTATTTGTTCTAAACAATTTTACCTAACGACAATAATATAACATATACGATTACATATGTTGTATTATAGATATTTAAATATAGAAACGTTACACATACAAGAATATGAGAAAATATTTTGAAAAGCTTCACTATAAATAGCCTGAAAAATCTTCAGATTTTAGAAGTCATATTCTCTCTCAACGGAGTACCACGATCACTTTATTCGTCGTGAAAAAACACAAAAAATACCTACCACTAACCGAAAACAAATATGGATACCACAAAATGAGGAGGAGTCATCTGTAGAAGTTCGCGCAAGTGAGGAAAGTTCTCTGATCGCCATTCACTTGGGAGTGGCCAGAAATTATTCTTTTACACGATTTCCGGTCTTTGACCAAGTATCCTCTGGGTAGCCTAAGAGTGAGAAGGCGAAACATCCCCTACATAGGGTTGTGCGCTGGGTTTGAAGAAAACACCCCTATGAAAAATTTACAACAGCCTCGGATGAGAGAAAAAGAAGACGCGACTGGCGCTCTGTTGTTAACTCGGCTATAGTCGCGTAAGCGCTGTATATGCCAATTCAGAAAAAGAAGAAGAAGATACCCCAAAATCTGCGCCAATTRCTATGGGATAGTATCAGTTGAATTCAGGCCTGGAAAATCAACAACTGACCACATATTCACCATGCACCAAGTCGTGGAAAAGATCCCTGAAAAAAGGACCCACAAACACAAAATCTTTGTTGATTTTAAAGAAAAGATGTATATTAGGTGCAAGGGGGCTAAGGGAGGTATTGACTCGATTTCAAGAAATTTTTGACAGAAACGCTCTTATTGCAAAAATATTCTCCAAATTTCTATACTAAAACTCACAAATTTACCGATATGTGCCACGACCATTCTACAAATTCCGAATGGTCCGATTATGCCCTTCTATGAACTCATCCTTTCGATTTGACCGTTTTTACTCAAGTTACAACTTGCACAGACAGATGGACGTTTTTAGCAAAGCCATTGAGGAATCGAATTACAAATTACCGAATACAAAATTGATTTATATTTAGCTGCTACAAATGTGAAGTAACAAAAACCAACTAATTTGGTTCATGAGAATGGAAAAATTCTCATTCAATGAAAAGTCCTTAATTTCTCTCACCAGCGGTAAGATTTTTGCGAAACCTCATTGAGCTATTAACGCTATATGGAATTATCACATTTAATCTTATTGATATATAGCTATTACTGATATAATCGTTAACAGTATAAAGACGCGAATATGATAAGTGTTAGAAGGAAAAGTTTTGGTGAAAAATGCATATCTACAATATTCCAGTAAGATACCTCAAACATTTAATGTGCATACTGTATAAAAGCAGCCATAAACTCAAACATCATGTTCAAGAAAAAATGTCCTGATGTGGAATAGTTTAAGAAGAGAATACCATCTACAAAAATATGTTTCAGTATTTTCATTATTGCTTTATTTATCTATTGCAACGACAATTCTGATGCTGACACGCTAAATGTAATAGCCTGAATAAAAAGTAAGAATCGGTGTAGTGAGACTACACATCATTCCGCCATACAGAGAAAAAACGTAATGCGCACTTAGATAGCGTTCAGTGCACACTGAAGGCGCCATTGCTTCTGTATACCAGAATATTGTTGAAGAGCCGACATCGCGGACAACAACTGGTGCTGTGCTCATCAACTTATTGATCAAGATTTTGTGGAAGAGTCTTGGTTTGCAGTGTTACAAAAATCAAATTGTGCAAAAATTGAAGCCAAACGACCATTGAACGCGTTGCACTTTTGGTTAACGCGCCAAAACTCAAATCAAATTTTCGCATTTAAAGTAAACAGTAAGCAAGCCATTGTTGAGTCGCCGTAACATTCACAAAAAGTCTATTTTAGGTGTGCTCTATAGGCAGAGGGTATCACTGATCTATATTTCTCCAAAAATTAAGCCGACCATAATGTTATAGCTAATGAGAAATGTTGATGTGCACTACCTTTGGTTGCAACAAATCGGCCAGGAAACTTTTGCGATGTGGCCTCCAAGATCGTGCGATTTAARACCACCATTTTTTCTGTTATGTGAAGCCACTTTTCAACGCAGATAAATGTGATATTGGCATTATGGAAGAAAACATTTGACGAGTAATTTCTTGCATACAGTCGCAATTGCTGTAAAAAGGTCGAAAGTTGGGCTTAATATAARTGCGCAATTAAAGTGACGAAGTTGTGATGGGCGAGCGAAACAATCTCAAAAACACTCTAACTAACTGTTAATTACCAGCAACAACACAAAATCGCAAATCACACACGCAATCGCAAGATTCGTATACCACAGGTAAAATTGCAATCAAGAAATTCGCCAACAACATTTTTTGCGTGTGTCCGCAAATCATCGCTAATTTAGAAATGTCAACAAAATGTCTAGATAAGCAAACAAGCAGACAAAATCAGCAACAAGATGAACTTCTGCCAATTACGACGCATAAAAATTGCTGAGCCACATTTTGTGCAAAACTTTGCTGATTTCTTTGAAATTCATAAGAGGCAGCTTGTGGTGCTCCACACACCTTGCGCCAAGCTTTTGTTGTAAGCAACGTAATTTTAGATGCCACAATCAAAGCACCTACACTGGGCAGCGGGCGCGAAATGGCATTTAATTGTGAGCAGTCCCGCACGCCTCTGCAATTGGATACGCTTTTAGGAGTGAAAAATAAACATAATGCACACAACAAAATGGAAACGTATGYAAACACACGTACACGCGTACCAAGAGATGTGGCAAGTGTAAACAATGTCGTTGCACGCTCATTATTTGCACAACAATGCGAGCAAAGTGAAAAGTCCTGCGGCAGGATAGCAAACAGACAGCGAAATACACAGCCACTCAAGCAGTCCGCCGCATAAATAATACAAGTAACGGCGCAGAAAAACAAGATAATGGCGTCTTGACGCACAAACAGGTGTTGGTGGACGACTTCCTGTCCTACTGCTACCCTGACTACATAGCGTTACGCGTTTTTTTTTTTTGTTTGTTTTTTTTTTGTTTTTTTCCTTTATAGCCTCAGGAGGTGTGGCGCCACTCGCCTAAGCCAATAATTTCTGTCATTGCAATATTGCCAAGTAAACACGCCGCTGACAAATACTTAAGCAAGAGCAAAGCAAATAATGTGGCCAGCACTCAAACAAGCCCACTGGCAAATATTGATGGAAAATATGGTGAATGCTCAGCGTAAAATCTATGGAGAATGCATAGCATTAATCATATGCGTGTTAAATATTCAAAGTGTGCACCGCGCTTTACATATTTAAAGGCGCCCGAATGATTTGCGTTTAAATTTATGCATACGCAACAGCAAAATCACAAGCGCAAGCGGAATATGCAAGGCGTCAAGTCGCAAGAGGCTACACGCGCAACAGCTGTCACTTATTGGCGTGAGTTGGTTAAAGGCGACATGAAGAAACTTCTTATAGCCTCTTTCACGTGAGTGACAAAGCAGCTGTGGCAACAAAATGTACGAAATGCTGCTTTGTTTTGGCGAAAACGAAAGCTATCAAGGGTGTCAGCGATTTTCATGATCTTCAGCGTGCTGCAGMTGACAGTGGGGAGATTACATGCCACAATATGGACACTGAGTGGTGATTCCCTGTGCTAATGCTAATTGATTTAGGATTTGCGTTTACTAATAGATAACTACAAATACATATATGTATATGTGTGTATGTGTATTTTGAGATAAGCGCTGKCGTTAATAATAAAGTGTTAACTGAGAGTGTCTATGGCAGCAAGCTGATGGTGGTGATGAAGAGTACTTTATGGTATGATATGTAACCTAATTTTTATTGTAAGCTACAAWATAATAAACTTAAAAGCTAATTATATTGATTAAATTAAATATTCATATGCTTAGTTCCCACTCACCTTTAAGTGGACAGCACTTTTGTATGCCACAGCAATTTGTTTTCGGAAAAAGTGTATTACAATATGTTAGCGCTGCTTATAAATCTTTTTCTCGCCTTTTCACTCTCCTTATCGCCTSTATAGTAAAAAATATACACACCCACTTCGCTGTTAGCGCGGAGGGCAATTGTTTAGTTATGAAAAAAAAATTGTTTACGTTTGTTTTGCTTCAAATTTATTCAGCAAATTGTTTTAATATACAGAATTGTCTTTTATTTGGTTTGCTTTCGTTTGCGTTGCGTATCCGCTGGCTGTGGAAGTTCAGCGTTGTTTGCAACAGCGAGGTAGTACATTGACTGAGTTGATTGCGTATTTGCAAATTTACTTCTTCATACACTCTGTTATTGTTGTTTTGGTATACATCACTTTCACTTTACTTCACGCAMCTAGTATACACACAAATATAAACAAACGTAAATGTTAAAATTTGCCTGTGAGCTAACATTACGAGAACAACAGGAGTAACAACAGGACCTTAACAGAAGTATAAAAGTTCGTTTTAGGAAATAAAAATTGGCAGTATTTTAAAATTTATTATTTTTAATTATTTCAAGTAAAGAAATCGTTAGCATTACAGAATGTTTTTCAAAATTGATTGGAATTATTAAAAATGTTAATAATGTGCCAATTTCCTTTGGTACTTTCATTCGTAAGCAACAGCTGGCCGTTGAAGCTCTTCTGCTGTTGCTCATACGCCACAGCTTACCTGTTCAAGGAGTACTATACATTTCACGCTTAACTGCCGTTAACAGCCGAAAGCTCTTTGCTAACATAATGTCATTTATTAAAATGGCCTAAACAGCAAATGTCAGAATGTCAGAGCTCGCTCTCTTGTGATGCTCACTTGAGTTGCCAAGCTAATAATACTTTGAAGTTGTATTATTAATATTATATGACGCCTTCCCGTACAGATTTTTTGTTCTATTTTAATACAATAAACACTGGCCTTCAAACAACTACACAAAATAAATACTTTCATTATATAGAAAGCTTGACTTCTTCAATTTGTCAAGCAGGGACCTAAAATTTTTATTAACGTTAAATAATTATATTCTATTTTTTTTTCTGTATGCATCACTATTATTGCTTGAGAGTTATGCTCTCTTAAATATTTGCCTCAGGGTTATATAATATAAATTTCTAAGTAGAACCTCMTACTCGTATAAATTAATCTCTAATTTACAGGTATTATATGTAGAATATTATAGTGCGTATGTAAGGTAATTGAATATAGTCTGGACTTGAAGCTACAGCCAGAACCGAAAAGAMAATTYAAATTAATTTTTTTTTTTTTTCCACCACTATAGTTGGCATTTATTAGTGTACGAAGGATGCAATGATAACAATGTCCAGGAGCAGCGAATAATGTAAAATTAAATTGTAGGATTTCRCAGAGCAATGCTCCAGTGAACCACCTGGCAGAAGGAGCAATCACTTTCGACTTGGAAATATATGTAAATGTTGATTATAGTGCCGACAAATCTGCAGAATTATGTTGAGCTGGTGGTAAAATAGAATGATCACAATCTCCTCCACCAACTCATTAGCTTTTGGAAGATGAATCTAAACAATTATTGGCTAATATCTAAAGATATAACAACKTTTTATCGATAACGTCATTTGGTGCAACGTTTATTGTACAGAAAAGTTCCATACCCACTTTCAAATTAACATACCTTAATTTTTATCTGTTATACTGAAAAAACCTCTTTCYACCATTCTGAGCATTTTAATAATAAGTTTTGAGTTTTGGAAATTCGATCTTATTTTTATGTACTCAGTTCCTTAGTAGGAGTGTATTCGACATATACAATATAACATAAAAATATATATATAGTGCAATTTCCCGTAACTGTAGCAAAAACTCATGTTTGAAATGTATTATTTGAGTACCAAAAGCTAACAGAAGTTTTAATTTATTAAATATTCTATACTTAACAAAACTTTTTGAATACGTATCTGACAGATATATATAGTATATATATATACAAATTTACATATGTGAATACTCATTACATTTAGTTTCTTTGCTGAAAAAAATTTGTTTATATATTCATTGATTTAAGCCGAGTTTCAAATTAGTMTCTACATGCTTTGAGAGATTGACTTTAGACATACATATTTTGGAAAATGTAATATAAATATAATAAAAATCAATAGAGTAGAATGTACCAATGCGCCTATATTCAAATGATCCTAGCGATAAGTRGCCAGAGGTATATCATCTTCGGATKCGAAATCAGGAACACTTGCATTGRTTTCTAAGAAACCAACTATAAAAAAAAACAATATTTGATGGTTGTGCTTTTAACTTTTTTAACTCAAGAATATTTACCAATTTTACAAACTCTGATCCTGCTGAATAGATTTTTTGTGTTGTAACRTTRAGCTTYTATAAAAACTTTAAAATTGTTTATTATGTCTTGWTCAAGAGGTTGGMAAACYGCAGTTGTATTTTGATCCAAGAAAATTGTTTTAGTATTTGCAAAGTAAATTTGCCTTCCAAGTGATCCCGCATTATTCAAGAACAAAATTACATTTCGATTTTGGAATCGCAGTCATGATTTCACGACTCATCCATGCTTKTTTGTTGGAATTCCAGTCAACTGGCCGTTCGTTTAAGGAAAGATGTTTCTTAATTATATKAATTAAATACAAAAACATTTTATGTTAATTTGTCTTTAATACAGGTCTACAAATGATGATGGTATGACAAGTATACAAAAATGTATATCAATCTTCAACGTTTTCACATTTATGTTTAAGAATATTTTTATTGCAAATATACCATCATATAATTGAATGTATACCTTAGGCACAAAAACGGGTGTCCGGGTCTTCTTATATTTAGTATAACTTATTTTTAAATTTTACAACTATACTATGCAAATGTTATATTTAGCTTACTTCTTAATCTGATATATTTTGTTAAATATTTAACCAATTTTACTCAATATTCACATTTCACTTGATCTGCATATTCGAATCAATGCGATCGCAAACCGATCGATCGGTGAGAACGAACGAATGTATTCGCTACGCCGATAATGCCTACTTAGCACTGATAACATTTAATAATAAAATGCATTAACCTCGATGACAGTGAATATTCACATAATTTATTATTTAATTTAAATTAAATTTAGTAACTCATAAGTGTTGTTATTTCGCTTAACGGTGCAGTTCATAGGGATCAATTGCTGTGGGCCGTCGTACGCCGCCAAATGACGCAGTTGTTGGGATCAAACGTGAGTTGATGTAGAGTTGTAAATAGGCATTTATATGAGAATATTGTCATATAATCGTACTTACCATGCTTCTCATAGCTGATARATTTTATTAAAATTCCTTAAAGAACTATATAAGCATATATATTCATATAAATACATATGTATGTCCTTACATATTCCATTCTTTGCCTATAAATCCTATAAATGCGCTAGTAATTGAATGAGGTACCGTTTCTTTTGCTAATTGACCTACAGTTCATTATATTATATAAATTTCATCAATTAGCAAAATTAAACGAAGAAGGAGCCGCCTTAAAAATTTTAAATATATAATGTTTTTGCTGATTTTCTGTTGACCGTTAATAAAGATTAGAACTTATTTAATTCTTTAGAAAAAAAAATAAAAATTTTGTATCATATTGGAAACAAACAAGCTTTCAAAATACTCATGATTCTCGGAATATTTTTTTATCAAAAGCACACTTGAAATCCCGCCAGTCGTTTTTTCGCTACGTGACGCCAATTGGAGATTGCAAGCGAAGCCAGGTCCTTCCAACGGAGTAAAGGTCTTCCTATGCTTCCCTCAGCGCGGTACTTCGTTGAATACTTTCAGAGCTGGACTGAACGATGGCAATGTCATCGRATATCTCATAGAGCTCATCTTTCCGTCGAATACGATATTCGCCGTGGCCAACGCGTAAATAACCATAAATCTTTCGCAGAACCTTTCTCTCGAAAACTCTCAAGGCCTACTCATCAGATATAGCAGGACGGAAATAAGGAGTGACTTATAGAGATTGGTTTTTGTTCGTCGAGAGAGGACTTTACTTSTCAATTGCCTACTTAGTCCAACGTAGCACCTGTTGGCAAGAGTTATTCAGTATTGGATTTCCAGGCTGACATTGTTGCTGGTGTTTACACTGGTTCCAAGATAGACGAAATTATCGACTTCAAAGTTGTAMCTGTCAACAGTGACGTGAGAGCAAGCCGAGAGCTTGACGACTGTTTGTTTGATAACAGGTAATATTTCTTCTTGCCTTCGTTCCCTGCCAGACGTCTATATAATATCTTTTTTACAATTTGTTTATTAAGAGATTTTATAAGTTTTTTAACAAATTAAAATAAGTAGTTTTCTACACACTATTATTATTCGATGAGCTTTATCTACCTTACGGACTAACCATCACCASACTTTTCTTCTAATGATTCAATCACGTGATGATCGTAAATGTGTTGGACGGGCTGAATAATCCTAACTGAAACCTCATACTATAAGACGTAAGCATTTGCGGGTTAGAAAAATCATACAYTAATAATCCAAATATATTTTTGTACCCCAAAYAGGGTATATTCAGTTTASCACGAAGTTTGTATGTMACACYTAGAAGAAAACTCCTTCTACCGTACGAGGTATATACATAAATACCATATGTAAGTGATCGGCTAGACGATTTAGCCATGACCATGATAAGGCGTTAATATCTGGACACAAGAGTTTTTCATTTGACTTCACAAAGAACTGAAYGAACAGTCTAAGTTTGATTCYTTGCCCAAGCTRATRGATCAGCCAACTAACCTAACCTGACCTTTGGTTTTCAGATATCGTTTCTTTCTCTTTAAKAAGCTGCTCATTTGTCGGAACCGATAGAGTACCATGAATGAATGAATGAATAATGATGAGGAATGCACTGCGACCTTTGGTCTWTTGTGCCGTCTTCCTACTCACATTGACTCGCTTAATGAAGTCCAGTAGACTGCTTGGCGCTAGCGAGGCAATGCGATCCCTATCCGGAAACAACACTYCAAGGGCCTTGGCTCTGCGTCTACAGACTGCTGTGCAGTCGATCAACAGATGCTCCGGAGTTTCAGGCTCCCTGTCGCAGAAACGGCAGTTGACGCAAGCTGATAGGCCCGAAAATATCGATCAATGGCTGAGATATATAATTGAAATTTGTGTGTATCAAAAATGKTTTGAATCGAGTCAATACATCTTTTAGCTCCCATATACCTAACGTAAATATTTTC